GTGTGTGTGTGTGTGTGTGTGTGTGTGTGTGTGTGTGTGTGTGTGTGACGGGGTTGACAATGTGTTTTTCGGCGCGGGGTCACCATCCATCCAAATTGCATCACCGACTAAATTTTTTTTTTTTTTAAATAAGCATGATCTGCAAGTACATCACATTATAATCCAATAAAAACCTTATCCATGTTCGTTATGTCCTTTGGGAAAATCTATTGACGGCAATATCGCAATGAATGTGCATATGCGGCTTTTGTTATATTTTTGTTACCGTGCTATTTATGCTGCGTTCACGTTTGGTTGATGCCAAAGAAAAAAGCGTGCAACTGCAGCACAGAGTGACTTGAGAGAGCGAACAACGATAGTGAGAGTTGGTTTGAATGAAAAATCCCCACAGGAATTTCATTTAGCAGAGCCAGCAGCAGCAGCAGTGAATGCAAAAAAAAAATTGAAACGAGAGAACTAGCTGGGTGAGAGTGAGTGAATCGCCGTGTATTTTTCGTTAGGAAACAAATTAATTCTTTGGCAAGCATAACGAACGGTTAGCAACGTCTCTTCCTCTCTGCTGTCGTCCTGAACGCTGTTCGACGAGAGGGGGTCACCTTTTCTATAAATTTATGAAATATAGAAAATTGACTAAATCAACAATTCAAACAAAAGGGTTGCATGACATTGTGTGCGAAAGAGCGTGTGTTGTGTGCGCTGCCACTGCCGCTGTTGTCGTCGTTGCAACAGCGTTCACATCATTGACTTTCGGCAACGAAATACCCGCTCTTTCTCACTCACGCGTCTGTGCTCTATTCACAACATTTCGGAAGTCAAAATTCTTTATTGTTGTTTATAATTTGCATAACCAATTCGAAAGCAATTATTATTGCGTCGCATACATTGAAAATGTACTGGTGGTACAAATGCCTGTGAATACGCATGCAGACACACACACATATACACAATAACAAAAAAAAATACAGCACAATACATATAATGCGAATTAGAATGGTTTCACCGCCATTGAAGAAGAGAAAAGAAGCGAAATCAAGTAACAATAGACCGAAAATACGCTGAGAGAGTGTATCGCTATCTAAGACACAAAAAAACGTCGTTGATCCACTCACCACACACACAGCAACAACAAAATGTGGAAACACACAGCGAGAGGGAAGCGAATAAAGAGAGTGAACACGAAATAAGCACCACATAATTTGACTTGATTTTTCTACGAACCGTTTTCAACATGTTGCACTCGTCAAAATTCATTTTTCATTCAGCGCCTGATTAGACATGATTAGCATAGCAATTTATAAAACAAGAATATACCAAATGGAACAAAAAGTAATAAAAATGAATAGCAATGCGGCGATGATAAGGCCAACGAACAGAAGAAAGAAAAAAAACATGCTATTGATTTATTCGTAATGACCGATAAATTTTTCGTTTTATGGCTGTTGTTTTGTTGCTATTACTGCTGTTGTGTTTTTTTTCTTCTCGTTGTTATTGCATGCAAATCAACTGGCACAGTCGATAAATCGACTACGATGAGCTGAAAGAATTCTTTTCTTCTTTTTTTGTGTGGTTGTTCGGTATAATTCCGACAAATGAATATCACAATAAATTGCACAAGTTTCTGCTTGCTAAATACGCAGTGGAAATCGAATGCAGTGGTTTTTATTTTGTGATAGCTGCTTGGTTCGTTGGCAGCTAAGCGGCTTTTCGAAAGCACTGTACTCGACCGCGGCGAAAGTTCAAAGAATGCTCAGAAGGAGCAGAAAAATATACACTCAACGAAGAGACACACAAAGGTGGAATGGGCCGAATCGAATGATAATAAAAGAAGAAAACTAACGGATTGACGACGAAAATTTTTCAAACAACGACAAACACGCACATTATTCACATGCATTGGATTTTTATTACGTGAAAAATGTGCGAGATATGTGCTCAGCGCTCAGATGGCAGATTCGATTTGTGCCAAATGTGTGACTTGAGGTGGAAAGAAAAATGTGCTTCGGTGTTGCAATGAGCCCACATTTTGGGATATTCGCTCTCCTTTCAAAGCATTTTCTAAGTCCATTAGTTTCGGTATTGGCGCGTCATTTGCATAATATATGAGCCCGATGTGCATCAGCCACGACATACCGTTGAATCGATTATAAGTTGAAATTCAATTTGGTTTTGTTTTTCCTGGTTCTCGTTCACATCCATCTGCTGGGGAGAATAGCACACATTGGATTACTCGTGTGGTCCCGAGCGAATGAGAATTTGATCAACTCTTCATGATTTGACTCAATGGTGAATTATTTATTGAAAATAGTTATGTGTGTATGTGTGTGTGTGCTTTTTATCCAGTCTTTATTCAATTTTTAAACATTTTGTATGCTCAAAAATGTTTGTCAACGACCTCGTCACAAAAAAAAACAACAAAACACATGAAGACCACATGCGATTCGGAACAAAAATTCGTTCCTTTAAACGCATTCAAACAAAAAGTAAATAAATTATTTTGAAATATATTATTAAACATGTATGATTATTCTTGATTACATGCTCCGTTCCGATTCTCCGCATTCAACAATTTCGGGTATTTTTTTTTTTCTCTCCTCTCATTTTGACAACCGAAACACTGAAAAATGTCGATCCAACCGTTCGTTCCGTGTGGTTCGAATTAGTTTCGGTTACAAAAAAATATGATTATTATTATTACTGTACAATGCGAGAGAGAAGAAAAAAACATTGTAAAAATGTATTGTAGAAATGTTTTCGGAGCATTTCTTATGGTTTGATCAAAAAATTGTTTAATTGCATACATGTCCGTTTGAGTTGTTCAGGGTGTTGTGTACATATTTCAAGTTGAAATTTTCAACTCGATTTTTCTGGATTCGAAAAGGTTTCGGCATGGGTTTATGTATCTTCTTCTCATATTATTGTATAAATATTATTCGGTGGTTCACTATGTTTCTATGTTGATTCACTTCATATTTTGGGTTCATATTTATAACGATTTCGTTATAATTTATAATACACGGTTGTGGTACAGAACGAAATGAAAAAAAAAACATTGGGCTGGCCAATTCGAAATAATTTTATTATCATATTGCTTGGCATTTTGTTGGTGCTCGATTTGATGGTACAGTATTGGATTTCGGTTCGCATTCGAAATTCATCTGTCCGATCGAAATGTGTTTTCAGTGAGTACGTAAGTTTATAATTTTTATGGCCTGTTTTCTCGGATTTTTTTCCAGTTTATTCTCTCTCTTCCTCTGTCTGTCTGCCTTGCTTTTATTTATGATCCTCCACTAGTTTATGGATTTATTCGTTGTTGTTTTTTTTCTCTTGAGCATATGATTTGTAGTTCATATTTGTTTAAGTCAGTTTCGGAGCGATTAAACTGGCAGTAAAACACAGAGAAAAAACACGACGAATAATCGAGCAGCATCGAAAAAATGAGAGATATGCTTGCTTTTTGATAACTGTAATTTTTATGCTTAATTAATAATTATGCATTGCATTGGCATCGAATGTGAAAAGATGCCATTCACCGTACGGAGGAAACACAATATACATACGCATTTCACTGTGCTCGATTGCTGAATTATTGGGGCAAGTTAGTTCGGTTTCACCGATAACTAATTTTAGTCAAACGAAAAATTTCATGAACGAGCATACCATAGGAAAGGCAAACGCGAGCCATCTTAAAAAGGCATCAATCACATCGTAATTAAAATCAACACACAAATCGGATTTTGGGTCGAGATCTCGTTTTTTTTTTCTTTCGTTGTTGTTCTCTTCATCATCATAATAATTTCATTCGATTCCATTCTCTGGCGTGGCAAAATGAGAAAGAATGCATGATTTTGTCCATAAAACGATTTGCTTTTCTCAAACGAAATAAATTTTCGATAATGAGATTTTTGAACACCAGATTAACATAGAGAAACAAAGCACATACACAGAAAATTGATGATAAGTCTAGTTCTTGTCTGCTGCTATACATGTGCAGAGTGGAGCATAGAAGATGAATCTAGATGTAACTTACCCATAAAATTTGACTATTATGTTGTATAATTTTTTTTTTCTCTTTCTCCTTTTTGTAAGCTCCTTCAACGAAACGAAACAGAATTTATAATCCAATTTAATCCGGCAGGTCAATTAATAATCTGAGTTTATTTCTTTGTTCTGATTTTGTTGGTTCGGTTTTTTTTTCTCTGTCAGTATTAAAATTGTGCTTTTAATTATTCCACAAATATGTATGCGTTTCGAATCGATCAGCGAGATTGAAATCTCTGCATCTAAATGTGTGTCTTCTCACAACAAATTTTCACTCAATTAACTTCTCCACTGTGTGTATTGTTTCGATTTTGGTGATTCGAGGGGCACCGAAGGCGATTGGGAATTTTAATACAATGGATTCGGTAGCGCACCAATCAAACACATTCACGTCTTACAAAATAATCCTGTCTAATAAATTTAATTTGATTCACTTCGAAAATAGAACACAAGAACTTTCAATATACACGAAACACAGGCCAGAAAAAAAATTGCCTTGGCCAAACAGAATGGCTATTCGCTCTGCCTTTTATCAAAACTGCTATTGTATCGGATTTTAAATGAATTTTGACAAAGTTTTCTATATTAAATTTTCAGCACTGGTTGTCGATGCGGCAGAACAAAAATTTCGATCACTCTTGGTTCAACAGATACAGCACACTTTAGTTCAAATTCACACAGTTTTCGACCGTAAATTTGGTTTTGATTGTTATTTCAAATATGAAACTTTGTTGTTTGTTAAACGGACGTCTCGATGAGATTTTTTTTCTATTTTCTTTTCTTCTCTTTAATTTTCACAGAATTCAATTAAGTTGATAACAAACTCGAATCAAGTCAAACAGTTGTGTGTGTTGAGTTCACAAGATTTCGGTGTCTATATGTTCTTCTTTTTTTTTGTTTCTATTTAACTTCTTTTATTTACTCTTTACCGTTTTTTTCTCTCTCAGTTTATTTCAGAATATTTCGATTGTATGTTCACTGATCAAAAACTGAATAATGAAACCAATAAAAAAAAAATTTCAGTTGAAAAAAAAACACATGAAAAATTATGTTGGTAATTTAAACAAGAAATTGCTTTGAGTTCTCGTCAATGATTCAGAAAAAAACACAAATTTTCAATAAACACCGAAACAACACAAGATATAGTGGAAAAATGTTTGATCAAGAATTGAATTGTGTCGGCACGGAACGTAAATTACGAGAGCCAGGCGTAAAAATTTGTGTAAAGCGCAAACGAAATAAATGCACATCCACTAAACAGCACGATCTTACGCAAACTGAAATTTGAAATAGTCTAAACAGAATGTTAAGGCTCCTAACCAAAACAAAAATTGAACTCGAGCACACACACACGCCCGGCTGGAAGCAGCGAATTCCACTTCAGTGCCGTATACACACATCTACGGCGACGCTGCCGATGCGTTCCGACCAAGCGACCAAAGCATCCGAGCGATGTGCATATTCACACTCATTCCCGTACACACAGAGTGCGGTCCGCATTTCCATGCTGTCGAGCCGTTCGCATTCGTCGCAACGTGTGATTGCGGTTGCCGTTGTCGATTGCCTGTTCTCCACATTCTAATTTGATTCTTGAATTGTACTCAATGAAGGCGCAAAGCTAGCGGCACTACTCTAACCCGTGCATGTTATTGCATTTCCAATTGATTTGCTGTTTCGGTTCGTCGAGTACGACGACTCGTTGCCGTGCGTGCGTATGTTTTTGTTTTCATTTCGATCGTAGTAAAGTTTTGTTTTGAGTACATCTCGCATTGGTGCAACCGAGCACAGAGCGGTACTCGCTGTGTGTGTCGCGGATGGAGCAATTGATAGGACCCAAGAGTGAGAGAACCACACAGTCGTTGCATAAATGCACTCACAGCGGTGAACAGAACAACCGACTTGGAATGGAAAATGCTGTGTAGCTGAAGTGCTGCTGCATCGCCCGATGAGGATGATAAGACACAGAAAACGTGACCGCCGTTCGAGATGCAGCAGCAACGAAAAAAAAACAACAACACCATACGTTGGAAAATCACATGGGATATTGTGATTGTGTGTTGTTGCTATTACGCTACGTGTGCTTTGGGTTATTGTCGCTTTTATATTAATGTAATGTTATTCTTATTGCCGGCATATTTTTGAGTTGTTTATTCTCGGTTTTGACTCAATGCATACTTGCTGCTGCAGTCACGCGAATTGAGTGGTTTTTTTGTCTCCCGTCCCGTTCTCATTCGTTGTTGTTGTTGATGATGAAGAGATGATCTGCTTGGATTCTAATTGATTTTGTACATTTTCGCTTGCCAGTGCATTATTTCTCCATTGAATTCATTCATTAGATTCAGCAGAACGATGCGTCGTTCGTTTTTCTAAAAACTGACAATCAAATGAATTCTATGCTCTTTACCTCGAATTTAAATCAACTTGTCAATTTATGGAATTATTTTTCTCTCTCTCATAACATATATACACAGAGTCCGTATATGGCCGTTGAAAAAATCTCAATTGCATTTTGTGTGCACACAGAAAGCGAATTCATCAGAACGCTGCAAAAAAATACCCTCTTAATTAAGTTGAGTGGACATTCATCACAATAAAAGGTCGATTTGTTTTATAACGCAGAACGCTTGATGCCAGAAATAATTGCATTTCAAATCTGTTTGTGAGCTACTGCGAATTTTGTATTCATCCACACGCTAATACTCTTAACTTGGCGCATGGCTGTTAGTTTTTTTTATATTCATTTGGGTTTTCTTTCTATCATCCGCTGGTGGATGACACTCTGTTTGTTGCACATTTAGTGAACTTTTTTTTCGGTAAACGCTATTACAGTGAACGAAGCCTGGCTAGCGGATATAATTTATGGATGATTTTAACTTGATATTAAAACGTCCGAAAAAAACACAAGCAGAAAATATATTGGAGCCAAGAGAGAATGTGCACAGTCTGGTCATGCTTCAGCTGGAAGAGAGAGAGAGAGAGAGAGAGAGAGAGAGAGAGAGAGAGAGAACAAGTGAACGAGAGCAAAAGACACGGGGGCATAGCATGCTATGCATTCAATACATTACACTGTCAAACACAATGAAATTATTTGCTTGTGATATGATAAAATATCTGAAGAGAAATTTGTGATGTTGAGAGATGATATGATCTCTCTCTCTTTCTTTCTCTCAGGACGCATCATAAGGAAGAAATATTGCACGCTTTTTTCGTCCATCGGTGTGTTTTCATTTCTCTCTCTCTCTCTCTCTCGGTCTATGTTGAGAGCGCATCTCTTTTTTCCGCCATTGAGTTGGCGATTTCACATGCGATGGTAACATTACAAAAGAAAATCGATGCGCCGGTACTAATGGTTACTAGATGGCAAATTGAACGAAGGAAAATTGCACGGATTCAAGCACGAATAGTGTCATGTGCATCGGTGTTATTTTTTGTGCTCTTCTGTTCGGTTGGCCAAACGAAAGACATTGTCATACATCGTTGCATGCTACTTCAAAACAGAAATATTCGTACATATAATATTTACCCGGCTATGGGGATGAGATATCACATCACATCTACATTCACTGTACGGTGAACCATTTCGTTGTGTTCCTAAATAAATGAGACAAAATGAGAAACGACCATGTTGAACAAAGTGCTCTGTTACAATATGTATACAAGCACACGCTTCCAACAACAACAACAGAGAAAAATATGATAGAAGAAGGGCACTAAGGTTACAAATACACGAAAAGTATGTTCTCGCGCACGTCAAGAAGATTTATATGAATCAACATTCCATTGGCATTCTTTGTAGTTTGCCTTGAATCGTTATCAAATAAAATGAAATTTTCCGTCTTTCGTTCGAGAGATAGAGATCACTGACAGAATCGACGATGACAAAAAAACCAATACGTTCACTGTGTGTGAATGTGTGTATGTGTGAGTGTGTGGTTTTTTCGCCCTTCTTTCGAAAAATGCCTGACATAGATCTACGCGCGTTCTATGTGTGGAACAAAAGAAGCATTTGCTGTTCGCGAATCGCATCCTCTGCTGACGAATATTGTCGCCTGCATTCCAGTGTCCCTTCACAAAACGCACTCACCCAAGTGGCTGTCGAGGAAATTATTTCACCATGTTGTAGAGAGAACGTATCAATGCACCCTGAATTCGTATGCATGTATAGGGGAGTAACACAGATCATAAAGCAATTTCATATTTTCCTTGTTTTTTCGGCTCAATGTCGTCATGGTCGTTTCCCTGTTGCGTTCATGGCCCATCTCATTACATCCGTATCCATGCACACGTACATCATTTGGTGAAAGCAGAGACGAAGCCGAAGAAAAGGAATTGCTTGATGAACCTGGTGTTAATGCAATGCAATGGATTTTTGCTGGGCTTGTGCGTCCTCACAAGAAATACAAACAGGCGAAAATGTTGCTGTTAATGAGATATGGATGCGAACAGAAGCATTTGAGGCTTTATCACATACATCCGCTCACCGGTGGTGGTGCGTATGCATCGCACAGACACAGTTGTGAATTGTTAAAAACGTTGCGTTAACTTAAATTATGCGATTCCTTTGACATAGTGTTTATTTCTAAGTAAGGTGCGGTGAATGCTACTACTGCTGCTGCTCCTGTTGCTGTTGCTGTTGAATCGAATTAAGGGATGCGATGGTATTTTATATTTATTGTGTGGATCGACAGAAAGCATTTTTGTGTGAGCCCATTTCGGATGCTTAAACTGCAAATCCCCTCATTCCATGAGTCAGACCGCTGCTGTGTGCGTAAATAGCGATGAAAATGCGATTGACAATATAGTGTGTGCGTGTGTATGTTGTGCCCTTCGAACATTTTCATGTTCCGATTGTGTATTGTGCGATAGAAAGGACAAGAAAGAGAGAGAGAGAGAGTGAGATAGAGAGAGTGATGTGGTAAACAACTTTTGTGGTTTTTCTTCTGCAGCCCGTGCGCTGCTCATTCATTTCATATTTAATGTCGAAAACATTTGATGGTAACAGATGAAAAACTCCATGCCACTCCACTTTTGTTTTCATGTGCCGCCGTTTTTCTGCCTATGCGAACGGTGATACAACACAATTTTTGGGGGTGAATTCAAACAATTTTCGGTTATGCTTTTTCTTTTCACTCTCTCTCTCTCTTTCTCTTTTTTTAATATATCTTCTCTTGGTGTGTCGTTATAATATTATAATATTCATGCAACTTCTTTTTATCATTTCACTTCCATGAATTGGCAACGGTATCATTGCCGCTTGCACCGGCAACAAGAAAAAAAAATCCATCCGAAGACAGTGGGATAGAGAAAGACACCGAGAATCACATACACACACAGTGCGGTTATAGTACAGTGAGTCGCACGTAAATTCATCATATTTTTCATCGACCGGCTACCGTTAAGTAATTCTTAATATTTTTCGACTATTATCACAATTGTTAAATGTGCTTTCGGAGTTCAGTAATAGTGGAATTTATGTGCCGGTCATAAATTATGTATTATTGCCGTTGGCTAAGAATTCGCCTTGATTCGTTACTGTTATTATTATTATTATACTTCTTGCTGTTGTTGTTTCGATGTGTTTCTTCGTTTTTACCATGTTTTTCTTCTTCTTCTTCTTTCTTTCTTTGTTCATTTCTTGTTAAACTCTCGTTTTCGTTTTTAGTCGGGGATTTTATCCCTTCGACTTTTATTCTCCGTTCCTTTTCAATAAACGAATGGGTGCATTTTTCTTCCATTATTATTACACTTCTACCATATTTTTTCCAGTGTCTTGTTCGATGACGACTGTTTTTATAGTTAGGATTTTCGGAAATTAAGAACAATTTAACCGATCCACTGTCGAGTCAAAGAACAATTGAATTGTATTGCATGGTCTGGTCATCATGGAAACTAAATTCGTTTACCCAAAGGTACGACGTATCGCTCTGGAAAAAATGTCGCTTTGAATTTTCATGGGAGAGAATGTCATGAGTCATTTTAAATATGGATGTCATTATTATTGATGCCCTTCGCCTTACTAGTTTCACATCTTCGATATCCGATTTTTTTTTTTTTTGGAATGACAACAACAACAGAAAAAATCTATCGATTTTCGGTTAAATAATTTATGCATTTTAAAGTAGGGAATGCCGGTTGATTCAATAGATCTTGCTTATATGTGCGCTGTGTGTATGTGAATGCGTGAATAGCGGGGAAATCAAATAAAATGGAAATAATGTTGTTCGCTTGTGCATCGACGAATAAATGTGAATGGTTTGTGCCAATATGAGACCATGTCAA